AGGGAGAGGGATCTATAGCAGCAAGTGGTGGTGATTAATTTTAAGCTGTCATGGAAAACGTTTTTGCACTTTAATGTCAGAGAACTGAATTATTATTATTATAGGTCTGATGTTCCCTCGCCAAAGCTGTGTGTTTGCTCCCCCGATACAAAATGAACACAGAAAAGCTTTCTGGTTGGCTCCCAGGAGCATCTTTTGGAGAAAAGACAAAAGGAATGCCGCCAAGCCAGCCAAGTCCCCTTGGGGCCCTGATGGGAGCGTCAGCCCCTCCCCCACCTGCCTGCCCCACGCTGGTTGAAGCCCTAGTAAGTCTCTCTGTCCCCATGGATCCTAGCTTACCTTCTTGAGCCCTTTGGAATCCCCAGAGGGTAGAGAAAGTCAAGATTTACTACAGGGAAAAGAAGTTGCTCAGTGCAGAAACACGTGGAGGAGAGCACGGGGGCGGGGGAGCGGGGTGCAAGATCAAGTCGATGCACGCGGAGGTCTTTCAGATCCACGCCCTGTGGATCTGAATCAGAAACAAAATCTCACCCACTCCCATGCCTACAAACCCCTTCTCACTCCCCACAAGCAGAGGGGGAGGGAAGGGGTGCAAAACCTGACTGACTTTTGCATTGAAATAAAATATTTATTTCTTGCATAATCTGCCAGCAAATTAGATCAAAAAGCTGTCAGTTTAAAATCATGCAATTCATTAAGGGAGCAAACTTAAAATATACTTGGTCTAAAATAACATTTACCAAGAGGCAGGATTGATGTATGTAGCTAGAACAGATCTAGGAACTAGAAGAGAGTCTAAAAATAAAAAATTAAAAAAACAAAAAAACAAAAATGGAACATTTACTTTCTGGCACTGTATCAAATCTCTTTTTAAAAACTTAAGATCAGCACATTAATAACAACTACTATTTACTGAGATCCTGCCCTGCACCAGGCCAGGCACTTTACAAAGTTTTTATCTGTAACCTACCACATGGAAAATATAGTTATTCTCATTTTTCAGATTAGAAATCCAAGAATGAGAGAACTTGCTGAAAGCATACAGCAAGTCAGTGGGGAGTGCCACCCTGTCTGTCTGCCTGTCTGTCTGTCCACTGACCAGACCGCTTCCCAGTACACGCTATCAAAAGGGACACACATTATGGCTAAACAGTCTGCACTTTAAGCTAATCATGCATTCAAAGATTTCTTTTCATTGCATCTTATTCAACCCTTGACAGAAGGCAAGTCCTAACTTCAGCTTAAAAAACATGGTCCTTGGGGCACCTGGGTGGCTCAGTCTGTTAAGCATCCAACTCTTGGTTTTGCCTCAGGTCATGGTCTCACAGTTTGTGAGTTCAAGCCCTGTGTGAGTACAGAGCCTGCTTGGAATTCTCTCTGTGTGTGTGTGTGTGTGTGTGTGTGTGTGTGTCTCTCTGTCTGTCTCTCTCTCTCTGCACCCCCTCCCCCAAATAAATAAATAAACTTAAAATAAAAATAGTCCTTGAAGCTATTCAAATACCAGCCACAGTAAGCCAATAGGAGAAACTAACCTTGGACCCTTGATTCAAGAATATTGCTCTATTGCATGTTTGAGTTTGCTGGAAGGGGGCTGAAAGCCAATCTTGCGTATATAATATGCTTCAGTATCTATAGCTGTATTCTTAAACCCTGGGTCAAGAGCTACCTCACGAGGTGGTAAGAGAAGAAAATAATGTATTGGGTATAAACTTGGATTCACTCTCTCCTCTGGGCTCCAGAATCATATAGTGAAAACCACTTAGATGCCCCATTAGGTACCTCCAATTAATTCATTCCCTCCAGAAGTGAATGCAGCACTTCCCTCCAAACTAACTCTTCCTGGTTTTCCGGTGAAGACCCCCAGAAGGGGAGTGAATGGTTCACTCCAGCCACCCAAGGGCCCCAGGTATAACTGGGGTGAGAATTCCTAAATTCCCGTCTCCCACATCAGATTCTCTGCCAAGTCATGTCACTTTTGTTCCTTCATGTCTTGGACGTGTCCACTCCCCTCTGTGTGTACGACCGCAGCCTTAGTTCAAGGTACCATATGTCTTTCCCACCACTGCGACCACCTCCTAACTAGCCCCAGTCTTTTCAGCCTTGCCCTACCCTAACAATCTTCCATACAGATTCCAGAGAAAGTGTTCTAAAGAGCAAATCTAATGATGGCACTTTTCTGCTTAAAATCAAGTGACTTCCCTATTAGCCCCCAGATTTTTTAATGCCTTCATTGAGATATAATTCACATATCATACAATTTAGCCACTTAAAGTGTTTAGTTCCATGGTGTTAGTATATTATCAGAGCTGTACAACCATCAACACAAGCAATCTTAGAATATCTTCATTAAGTAAAAGGAAACTCCATACCCATTTGCAGTCACTCTCTATCGCTCTCCAATGCCCTCTGGTTCCTGGCAATCAACAATCTACTTTCTGTCTCTCTAAATTTGCCCATTCTGACATTTTCTATAAATGGAATCATACAATATGTGGTCTTTTATGACTGACTTCTTTCCCTTAGCATAATGTTTTCCAGATTCATCCATGTTGTAACATGTATCAGTACTTTGTTCCTTTTTTATGGCTACATAATATTCCATTGCATAGACATACCACCTTTGTTTATCTATTCATCGGGTTGTTTCTGCCTTTTGACTACTATGAATAGCGCTGATTTGAACATTCACATACAAGTGTTCATATGGATATGCATTTTGTTATCTCTTGGCTAGACATGAGTGAAATTGCTGGGTCATATGTAATTTTTCGCATCTAACATTTTAACATAATGCCAAGCTGTTTTCCAAAGTAGCTGTACTACCCTCCGATATTTTAAATCCAAGTTGTTTAATGGGGTTTACAAAGCCTTTCCTAATCTGATTACAACCTACCTTTCCATCCTCCTCTCTGTCTATACCTCAACCCATACTGTCTGCTTCAATTACACCCATTTAGCAATCCCTGAAAACAAATCCTCTGTCTCATTTGGTTTCTATAAACATTGTTTCCCATGCTTAGACCATCATTTTCCTGGCTGATGCCCACTGGTCCTTTGCTCTGTCAATGTGGGCCCTGAATTTACTATTCCAGCAGGACTTGCCACACTTACTGTCATTGCTGACCTTGAGCCTGTACTTAATGGTAAGCTCCCTGAGGGTAAGGATTATACCCTTTGTCTTTGGCCAAGAACAGCTTCAGGCATCTTAGAGATTCCCAATAATTATTTGGTGAATGTACAAAGCTGCTAGCATATAGTAGTTTATCACTCCTCTTCCCTGACGAATTGAGCTTTAGCATGATGGTCCCTATCTCCCTTTACCCAAAGGAAATCATTCCCAAATCATCTTGGAAATGCACAATCTAATTTTTAAAACAAAAACACTTGTGGTTCTTTCCTAATTTTGTTTTGCTTGGGCTAAGAATAAAATGAGTTGGCATTTCTTGGGTATATATCAACTGACAGTAGAGGGAGCCAAGCCAAGAATGTGTTAGGTGGCGGGTAGGAATCTGTATGCGATTAAAAATAGGCCATGTTTAATAATGAAAAATTGAAAATTACTCAAATGAACAACAATTGGGGAATAATTAGATCGATTCTAGTAGTAGACAGATAGATGAATAATACTGCCATTAAAATTGTAAATATGGAAAAGTCTGAAACAACCATAAAACTAAAACTGGAACACCAACTAGAATATACACATTGATTACACATAGGCAACATTGCATGTGTGTGTTGACAAGCAGAGAAGGTCATGCCAAAGAACAATACTAACTGTGGGTGTTTTCTAGTGAAATTCAAAAGTTTGCTTTTTCAATGTTTTTTAGCTTTTGCTGTAAAGATCTATAACAAATGATTGCCATGTATTTTTCTGAAAGTGTGTATCACAAATTAAAACTGAAGTTTTCTAAGGTAACTAAGGGTGCTGTTGAAAATTTCTTGGAGATATATATATACATATGATGCATTGTATTCTTTCATTTAAAAATCTCTATATATGTACATTTTGCATACATATATGGTGAACATACACATATATAATACATGTATGCATGTTTTCCACAGTGCTCTTAAAGAAGACAAAATATTTTCACTCTGTGATTGTCCCTTGCCTCCAGCACCTTTGGGAGTCAGACAAACCAAGCACTATGGTATTATCCCCTCTTCATCAGTTTAACTTTATACACAAGTCAAAACTGAGATTTGTGGAGCCTGGATGGCTCAGTCGCATAAAGCGTCTGACTTCGGCTTAGGTCATGATCTCACATCATGAGTTCAAGCCCCACGTTGGGCTCTGTGCTGACAGCTCAGTGCCTGGAGCCTTACTTGGATTCTGTGTCTCCCTCTCTCTCTGCTCCTCCCAAGCTCATTCTCTCTCTCTCTCTCCTCTCTCTCTCTCTCTCTCTCCCTCACTCTCACCTGCTCTCAAAAATAAATAAACATTTAAAGAAATACAACCAAAAAACAAACACTGAGATTTGGAAGATGACTTGTTCAAGGTTATACAGCTAGCAAGGGTCAGAACCAAGATTGGAATCCAGGTGTCTTAACACAAACACAATTCCTTAACTCTGCCCAGAAACCAGAGCCAAAATGTGAGCAGGAGGGGCCCACAAGTACTCAGGATCTGCAAAGTTCTTTCCTGAAGCTTCTTGCCCAGTATCCTGCACTACGGGATGCTCAGGAAGCGTTTGTTCAAAAGATGGATGGATCGATGGGTCCATCAGTGGGCATGAATTTAACAGGTCAACATGGTTCAGCAAAAATTCTTTGGTACTCTGTGATGTCATTTTCACCAGACCTTTACTAGATCTTTTCCTCTGCGAAAATTCCATCTCTTCATGTATTCACTCAGTAGTTAATTATTGCTTACTAATTACTAGGCAACTACTCTGTGTAAGAAGCTGTGTTAGTAGCATAAGATGTGATAGAAGTAACGTATTATTCTTACCTTTAATATATTTCTAATATACTACAAGAATGAGATTCATATTTTTAAAAATCCCTAAAATTCCTGGCAAAATCTGAGGTTAAGAGAAGATGAGAAACACTGTTCAGAGAATCTGGAGGAGAGAGGTACGGTGTTTAGTTGAAAGAATAGAGGCAAATGCCATGGAAATGTGGCATTTCAGCGGGGCCTTGAATGACAGGTACGATTTCAGAAGATGGGCTGGGGGAGGACATTTCAGGAGAAGCAAAGCATTTTAACAAAGACGTGAGGTAAAAATTTCACAAAGGTGAGCATCTAAGACAGTTTCCTCAGAGAAACAGAGTTCTGCTGAAATGTGTTCTCTTTTTCCACAGATTCCTTTGTATTAAAGCGAAATAGACAGTTCCACGATCACCTCACGTGCCTCACGCAGGTGCTGGCACTGGGGTCCCGGGTAAGTAGGAATATATGATGAGGACTTGTCTGTTCATTTCCTCTCTCATGAACATGGTAGAAAGTACTATTAGCCCTGGCACACAGCAGAGTGTGAAACAAAGGTGCAGAGAGACCGGGAGCGTTCTCAAGGTCACAGGATGAGTCAGCTGGGAAGAAACCCTAGAACGAGGTCTGTACCTCTCCAAAGGAGGCTGCAGAGGCATGTGTGCCACAGAGCACGGTGTGTTCCTAGCCCGTTCCCTCTGCGGCCAAGTGGTGCCTTCTTCCTAGGAGCTCAGCAGGTGCCGAACACACATTATTTGCTTCATTCTCTCAGAGCCACCGTGGCTGAAGGAAGGTGTAGGCATGTTTGCCTTCTTTCCTCAAACAGACAAACCAAAGTCCACAAGGAATCCAAAGCAGTTTATCTGATACTATGTAATATGTGTTAGAGTTAAGCAGGCTACTGGCCCAGGAGTAATGTTCCATGTGGCTGCTGGGTTGAGACCACGGCTGTTGGGAGAGGTGGAGCTAGGGGCCAGGCATTTGAAGACCTGACTTGGGACCCTGGCTCTATCCCTTGCCTTCAGTTCCATCCTGGGCAATTGCTCCGCCTTTCTGAGCCTCTTCCATCATCTGTAAATGGGAATAACATGATACATTTGTGTCTGTCCTCAACACACAGTTTTAATGCTAAGAAAACACATCTCAGAGAATATCTGCAAATGTATTAAAATTGGTTACTTTGGGGGGTACTTGGGGGTGCTCAGGCAGCTAAGCGTCCCGATTCTTGGTTTCCGCTCAGGTCATGATCTCACGGTTTGTGAGCCTGAGCCCCGCATTGGGCTCTATACTGGCAATGCGAGCCTGCTTGGATTTCTCTCTCTGCTTGTTCTCTCACTCTCTCTCTCTCTCTATCTCTCTCAAAATAAATAGACATTTAAAAAAATAATGGTTACTTTGGGGAGGAAAGTGGAAGCAATTGACTTCTATTTGTTTCTGATGTACTTCTTTTTCATTTGGGATTGCTGACAGTGACCTAGGCAAACCAAGAGATAAAAATAATAGCAATCTCATAAACTACCACACAGAAGGGACCTACCCCAGTTATTGCCAAATACTGTCCTCTCCATTAAGAGTTGGTTTCATTTCTTAAAATGTTTTATTTATTTTTGAGAGACAGAGAGACAGCACGCAAGCAGGGCAGGGGCAGAGAGAGACGGAGACACAGAGGTCGAAGCAGGCTCCAGGCTCTGAGCTGTCAGCACAGAGCCTGACATGGGGCTCGAACTGATGGACCATGAGATCATGACCTGAGCCGAAGTTAGATGCTAAAGCGACTGAACCACCCAGTAGCCCCTCAGTTTCTGAAAATGAATCGGTGTGCTCTGTGATGAAGAAGAGGTTGAATGTAAGATGGAAAAAACAAAGAACAATAAAAGAGTAACACAAAGGTTCTAATCAAGAGCTAAATTCCTTGAGCGCTCCTGAATGGAGAAGAAAGAGCACATGCCCCGGCTTTGAGAAACAGACATGGTTTTCAAGCTCACGGCTGCCACACATCCGTTCTAGAACATTGGAGAAGTCGTGGCCTCTCTGGGCCTCAGTTTCCTTGTCTGTAAATGGAGATAAAAATTCTCACCTTATAGATTTACTGTAATGATCCTATGAGACAAACACGCAGGATGCTTTAGAAGGCACTGAATGTTACACATAGTACGGGCCATGGAAATAAATACACTATGTTTGCCCACAAAGCTCTTATTTTGTTTCATAAGTCATCCACAGGACCAGATCACGGGGGATCTTCTAAACGGTTTAAGCCATAAATTACTCTTTTAAAAGGATTTTTGCATTGTGCACTTGAAAGTTATTGTGAGCTAGAACTTTAATGTTCTTACCATAATAACAACAAAATGGTAATTACGTGAGGGTGAAGATGCTAACTAATCTTACCAGGTAAACATACCATGGGCATGTGTAGCAAGCTATCATCACATTGTACACCTCAAACGTACACAATGTTACATGTCAATGGCATCTCAATAAATTGAGGAGAAAACCCTTTCAACAGATATAAACGAAAGCCAAAAAAAGCGCACTGAAGATCCACCAGAGTGGATCTAACTTTCAGTCTCTCTGATCAAGACAGGCTTTTCAAGCTCACATACTTGTGGTCAAGTGCTGGCCTCTGTGATCTCCTGGTACTTCCTGGACAGGATGTGTTTACTCTCCTGCAGCCTTTGGTAGCAGATGTGTTTGAAGAGCCATAAACTTAAAAAAGGGAGGGAAAAAAAAGGGCCATAAACTCAGCAATGAATGATAGGTAGGAACGTGCTTGCTTTCTTCCAGCCTTCCTTGTTCTGATTCAAAGAATTTTTCCCTAGATAGGAATTTGGCCTACATACGCTGGTGCCCCTAGCTGAGGTCTATTTTTACTTTTATTTTTTAAAGTTTATTTATTTGTTTTGAGAGAGACAGAGAGAGTGTGAGTGGGGAAGGGGCAGAGAACAAGAGAGAGAAGGAGAGAGAGAATCCCAAGCAGGCTCCACGCTGTCAGCTCAGAGCCAGAGGCGGGGGCTGGAACCCACAAACTGTGAGATCATGATGTGAGCTGAAACCAAGAGTCAGCCACTTAAAGAACTGAGCCACCCAGGTGCCCTGGGATAGTTTTATAGGAAGCTCTAAATTAGAATGATCTTTGTCCCCTTCAACTCAGAGCAGTTGGCTTTCTGTTTCTTCACCTATGAAATGAAGCAGGCTTGTTGTGACAGCTGAACATCATGGCTTGTTGTGAGATTTAAATGAGACACTAATATGTGACAATGTTTTGCAAACTGGGAATAATAACCCATCCAGGAGAAAACCCACAAGTGGAGCCGAAATCCCCCATCCTAGGCTGTGGCCTCCATTTCCTTGTCTAAGGAGAGACTTCATGAAAACTTTCCCAAAACTCAGTGGAAAAGAAACATTTTGCTGTTGAACTTGACAGATTTTTGTCCGAAAATCTCCCACTTCCTGTGTCCTTACTCTTAATGCTATAGTTTGGATCTTGGTTCAGTGTCCTGTGTGTCTGAACTCTGATTCTCTCTGCCACCTCCCTTCCCCTTCTCTTTGCTCTTCCAGGCAGGGGTGGGCCTCATGTCTCTGCTGGGAGGCTGGGAAGGAGTGTTTCTCAGAGGAAGCATGGGGCAGGTCGTGGCCGGAGCGCCCAGCCTCTCCTGTTAATTCCATCTCTTAATGATGCCACAAAGGACAAAAACAGTCTTCTGAGAAAGCCCGTCTTCTCTCATTTATTGGGCACTTCCCGTGTGCCAGGCACCCTGCTTCCCTTCGGTCTTGCTTACATTCCTTCCATAGACAACAGTCTACAGAGGAGGACTTTTCTCTATTTCATGGTTAAGGAAAGTAAGAGTCTAAGTAAGAACTTACGTGGCTTATTCACAGTCACCCAGATAATGGATGTCAGAGGTGGGCTTAAAATCGAGGTGCATCTGACATCCAAGCTTTGGGCCACTGGACTCCACTGCTTCCGATTCTACTAAAACTTGTGCTTGACCTGGACAAAATCTGACCCTCACCAGCCACCCCACCTTCCCACAGGGTGCAGGGGTGCTGTTCACCAAGCTGGGACATCCTCTGCGCTCTCTTGAAAACCCTGGCTAACTCCTGTCTGCTTTTTAAGACTCAGTTCAGGAGACGCCTTTGCTGAAAAGCCCTTACAGATAGCCCTGTGTTGCCTTCAAGGTGCCTCCAGGCTTCCACGGTCCTAACACTACATATTTCTCCATTTCAATTTTTGGTTTACTTGTGTGTGCTCCCACAATGAACAACCTGAGGACATTATTTTATGCATTCCCAATGCTTAGCCACTGCCTGGCACCAGCCCGAAGTCAGCCCTCTGTACTTGTCTATTGAATGAATAAGTGGATTAATATATAATGAATATGTGAATGCCAACAAAAGCTACAACAGAGAACAAACCAACCCTGTTCCTTACTTCTTGTACCCTCATCGTTATCGACGCGGCCAACCAAGTAGCACTAAATCAATTCAACAAAGATTTATTGTGCTGGAGGGTGGCGTAGCAGAGTGCTGGCACATTGCGTCAGAGTATGTCAGAGCAAGGGCCCTGGGCACAGACTTCTGGTGTGTAAAATGAGCGTGATCATCATACCTTTATCACAGGATGGCCATGGGGTCAAATTGCAGAATAGCTACAGAAGCTCTTCTGAAATTGCAAAGTGATATGCAAATATCAGTGGCTGTTATTTTACTGTTATTACTATGCTCACGGCATTTGCTCGGGCCCCAAAGGCGGACTTGAAGATGATAAGCTACTGCCCACAGGACAGTGGCAACATAAGGAAGCACTCAAAGGTCTATGAAATAAGGCAGAAGTTCAATGACCTAAAGGGACTTGAAGATTTCTGGAAGACAAATCAGGGGTCGGGATTCAGGGGTCAGGACAGCCCATTTGTCTAAGGCTGTGGGAACTTTGAGGGAGCTTTAACGGCAAGGTCACACTCCCAAGCCACTTATGGTCATAGACGGTGTCATAAGCAACTGAATCGCGTGGTATTTGAACACAGCAAGCTATTCAGGGTGTGGTCCTTGAAGGCATTGGAGACCTGGGCTGGATCTCGAAGAATGGGTTGGATTCAGGTTAGGGAGGAGGAGGCAGGGCGTTCCTTGCTGGACAGAAGATACAAATAATGGCAGGCTGCAGCTTGGAGGGTCTGGGACAGAGCCAGGGCTCATGGTGCCTGGATAAGGCCTCATCCCCTGACCACAAGCAAGGCATCAAAACCATATGAAGTGCACACTGGGTGAATCAATAGTCCACTCAGCACTCTATTTGGACAGTAGCTCCTGGGGATATTTTGGGAGAGCTTCTGGTTATACTATTTGGATGCCTCTTTGGTGATTAGGAAGATAAATTATACAATAACCTATTCTGGATCAATCATTCATGAATATTTATCAACCCTGTCTTCATCTATAAGTAAACACACACAC